CCCCCCCCCCCCCCCCCGCAAACAAGGAGGAACGTTACGTAAAGGGTCGAAACCAGCTTTGGTTAGGAAAAGGTACCAAAATCCGTGAGCTTAAAACGTTCAATAATAATAGGTCATGCAACTTGTGCTTTTCTCTGAGGTATACTCCATATTTACCTGGCAGCACACTGGTCCCGTTAGGCGCACACTGGGACTCCGTGGTCACCAGGGCAGGGAATGTCTGCTTCAGGGCAGTGAGAGCAGTCTCTGGGTGGCCACACGTGGCTGTGATCTGCAGACCTGGATATTCAAAGTACAGCCCTACATATTGTTTCTATAATAATATTTACAATTTGAATAGAAAGTACCTGTGGCATGGTGATTGATGTTTGGTAGGAAACCTTAAATATACAGTTAAAAGTTAAATTATTTTTAATTGAAAAAGACAGTAGATTTATAGAAATTCACAAAGGGACAATAAGATTTTAAATTTTTTATTTTTTTCATAAGCATAGATTTTTGGTATGGCGAATGCCATGTTTCCCTACCAAATTTCACGCCAGGTATATAAGTATCGGTGAGTCTTCTTCCATTTAACACGCCGCTGTCTCTGTTTAGAAGTTCAATGGACCATCGCATTGCTTCAAAGACCTTCGTCCATCGGACTGCTCGAATAACAACATTTAATGCATTATGGTAACAATCGTGGTCATTTTTTGGTAAATAGTTTCATATCTACATGTATATTCCAACATTAAGCTGCAACATAGATATGAAACAATTTACCAAAAGCTTAACCAAAAACCTATTTGGCTGAATAGGACACCGACTACCCTCTCCCCAGACTAAAACCACAGATTTCCTCTCGACTCTTCTGTAAAGAAAAATAGTTTTTTTCACTTAAAAGTCGTTTGCCAACGAAAGAACTTTTGTTCCATTTCCCTTATGCTTAGGTGAATAGTATCATTTTACAATTACGAATTTTGTAATACTTTTGATAAATTTTATAGTATTTAAGGATTATTCATATTCTTTTAAAAACCCGTTGAAGTTGGATATCACGCAAGGTGACTGGTGAGACACTGATAGAGTTAGCAATTGATCAGAAAACGCGGACTGATAGAATAAGATTGATTTGACGAGAAAAGGAATCGAAGGCGAAATCAAAATTTATAATTTGTTCCATATCTTTCGCGAGATGGTCAATTCTCTATTTACCGTCAGGTACTGCGCTGCAACCGTAACCTCCTTCTCCAGGTTTGTACAAGGCCATCATGCCGGTGAGAATGACGCTGGCGTTTTGAATCCCAATTGCGGCTGTCGTAAAGGTGGTGTCACAAGCCTCTGTAGCAATCCCCAAGGCTTCTTTGATAAGTATCAAAGAGCCGCATAGAATGATAATTTTGAAGACGTTTGTTCTCATGCTGAATTCCGTCTGTTAAGTAAAAACACTCAAATACTTGATGTTAACTTTTATAAATGGAGTGAAAATCACTTTCAAACACCAACAAAAACAAATTCTTTCTAATACTCTATCTTTGAATAACATAAATTGTAATAGCTAAAAATGGCTTTACTGGGAATGTGATTAATCTACTTATAATTTTAAATTGTCTGTGACTGTGGATTTTAACCTGGCCTTCACTGATTTTTAATCTGCTTAGATTTCAATTTGGCCTGAGACATATGTACAGTAAACTTCAAGAAGTAAGGTAACTGAATAATATTCTTTTAATATATCTATTTCATTATCATTCTTTTCTTTATAATAGATTCGACTTTAAAAATCCAAATAAGAATAGCAAGTGTCCTATAAACCGTTGGCAGTTAAAGGTGATGAGAGATATTTATGGCTGTTTAATTCGAAAACTTTTGTTGCGTGTCCAATTTTATGCCCCTGATAACTGCGCCTATAAACTTTCCTGTGTACGTTGCCATGTCGCGTTTGTTACTAGCATAAGAAATCAATTCGACTTGATTGAACATTCAACTCCAAATGGAAAACAGCTACAAATTGTTGGTCTCATTTGAGAGACACAAGCAATTTTTCCGCAGAGGCAAGAGAGGTGTGAAATATTTCAGTATCACAGCTTAGTGAAATTTCAATATTATAGGATAAAATTGCTTTTCAGGGCAGTAACTGTATTTTCTTTTTATTAAATCCGCCACTAAAAGATTTCAGTTAACGATAAGAATTGTTACTTTGAATAATAAAAGATGTGCAAAAGAAAAAATCTTTAAATGAAGAAACATTATAATGATGCAATTTTTGAGCACCAGTGTGTTTCCTACGAATTTTATGTGCACTTGATATTATACATAATTCCGTTACGCTAACGACCACAGAAGCATTTTTGATGTTATTTATTTCTCAATCATTTCGCAAATTTTATTTTTTTTTTTTCATTTAAAGGAGTCAAATAAGAGATGATTTTGATTTCCGACTCAAAATGCCTAATGAATATATTCTCAAGGTCACTCTCTTCCTGTTCAGTTGGCTTAGGTGAGTGAATGTTTGAAGCATTTCTTTTGTCCCCAATTTGACGCAGTGAATCGTTGGTCGGACAAAATAAAATAGAAAGATTCGATAAAATGAAAATCCCGCCAATAAGTCAATAATCACATCACAGGTTACGACATTGCTGGACTTAGGGGAGATATGCCTCACAATTTATTTAGTAATAAGCACAGACACTTTTGCAATAAATTCGTGTGCGATTTAATAATCATTTGCTTTAGAAAAGGTGAAAAAGTGGATGGGTTTCCAATATATAAGAGTTCTTGTTATATTGACCTGCGTTAAGGGCGGTACTAAGTGTATGAATAAGAACATTAATCATTCAGTTATCATAGGTGACATAGTAAACCATTTGCTACTTTTTTATCTGTAGCGACAAGCAGGGTGAAGTAGCACTTTCTTCAAATATACACGTTGCTAATATTGAAAAAATCCAAATAGGTAGTCTTAAAAATGCTTAAGTCAGTAAAACAAGCTTATTATCTTAACTCTTGCCTCGGGTATGTGGACTTTTGTGGAATTTTAAAATACAGTGGCTCATTTTTTTTAAATTAAAATTCACCCACATTTTACATTGACGATCTTACGTCCAATGTCAATTAATATATTTCAATTCCCGCAGCTACAACGTTATAAACAGGTATTAGAGAGTTTATGAGAGTCTTTAGAGAGTCATGAGTCTTTACAGTTTTAGAGAGTCATGTTGCAACAATGTAAGAACGTGTTATTTCCAATAACACGTCAGCATACCTACTTACTGTTGTTGAACTACTATTTATCCTGCAGTGACGACCGCTTCAACAAGTAATCTTAATTTGGACGCTTTAAGTCATCTGTATTTCGTTCCATGGCTTCCATTTTACATGAAAACATATCAGTCCTAAATAACGGGGCATGAAGGTTACCTGTGTGCATGCTTAAAGTCATTTAATGCATACATTTCACATGGAATGGACTTCCAATGCAAATTATCTCACAAAGAAATATACGCAGAAGACGCTTGTTTTTAACCCACTCATACAAAATAGTAGCAAACACATTCAATGTAGTAGGGAATTGTGTCAATTGATATTCAGAAGGGTCACATTCCATTGATTGCATCTAAACATTTTGGAATTACCCAAACGCTTACAAGACAGAACGTAGTAAATCAAGAACTGTTATGTTATTTGTAGTTACAATACGAATTTGTAGTGTAACTTGTAGGTCTCACATCGTAATACACCGTGTATGTCTTTATGTAGAGAAACACCCAGCGCAATATTACTTTGTATTTATTCTTAGTCCAACATATCCGTATACATTATCATAAAAAAAGGTCGTGTTTGTGTGAAAAAGAAAAAGAATTAGAGTCATAAGACTGAGTCCAATAAAAATCTTTTCGATATTTATTTTTGTTTTCAGCACATTATCCTTTTCCTACCCTTTCCAATTGTATCATCAAGTTATATAAAATTAGTCAATTCAGGAGAGCATTTTCAACAGCAAGTTAATAGTCCTCATTTTGCAGGTACCGATGTGTAAATAACACTCTCAGTTGATAAGCAGATGCGCCTGCCACTTCGGCCATTTTATAATATAACGGCTTACGTCGTGTTTGCATAACTAGTCACCTAGCTTCAACAAAAAAGTGCTGTGACGCACATTATCCCAGCAGAAGTGTGAGTCCAGCAAGAGACAGCAGAAGTAGATAACTGGTCACAGAATAGATGGACAGCCCATCGTTTACGCTTACAACCATCTTGGACACAACGCGGCCGTTAAGTTTTTGGAGAGGACGAAAATTATCCACCGTGCGCTCTTTGGACGTTCCTGCGAAGTACGGATTTTTACGCAGCTGATCAAGCTGAAATTGTTTAGAAAAATGCAGGGCATGGATGGCTATCTATGATACAATTAAAATATTACTTTTCAGTTAGTGAAAGTATAAACAAAGGGTTTCCTTATCAGTACCATTTACTGCAATGGGGTTTAGAATTGATCTATATGATAAAACGCATTTTAAACTTGCTAGTTGTATCAATTACACCTAGTGTACTAATTTACCTGCGATTCTGATATCCCCACCGTTTCTTGGAACACAGACCATAAAATGGACTCGTAGCAGGCCGGGGTGGTCAAGCTGCCACGGTAGCGGTAGTATGCTTTATTACTGGGTAACAGGTTCAATAGGGAAACAACTGGACATCTAACACTGGCACCTGAAGCCAAATTAAAAAAATATATAGTTATAAGCAAACTGGATTTAATCTTGATTCCGAAATAATTAGAAATTTTTAAGGACTTGGTGAACTAACAATTCCAACTCTACATTATTTAAATCAATTTCTTGTAATCAAAACATCCTTTTCTTTAAATAGCCTTTTATATTCTATATTTACGTTCTAAAGTCTGATATTAAGACTTTTAATAAATCTTATTATTAGTAGTAGTAGTAGTACCCTGTCTAAATTACCCTGTCTAAATGATACCAGATGTTGGTATGCCTATATATGAGCAAGTAAAAAATATACACCTCGATCTTTGTATAATTGCATTTGTTCATAATTGATTTAGTAACCTACGATTACAAAGTAATACTCTACACACCTGATTCAGTGATGTTTGGAAGAAGATCCAAAATAGGTTTTAGGTTTATGTTGTCTTCAGACTGCACCTGCAATCATAACTGGCGCAATCACACTTGTAATCTCAACTACTGCAATAGTAGCAAAAATGAATTCCTATAGTTTAGCTGGCTACACCATTTGGTTGTCTACCAAGTTATACTAGTAATTACTTAAACTCATGCACCGCATTTTTATTCGCCTTACAAGCTGCGGCGCCAATCGCATTTGTACTGTTGAGAATGAAAATCGTGGTAAAATAGACGACTTACATATTAACTGATTTTTTATATGCACATGTTTCCATATCCAAATGCCTTAATTTTTTGCTAAACACTGCATTGTGAAAGTAGCCCATACTTACTGAAAAAAGAAGTCCTAAAACAGCCAGGCCGTCAAATTTATTTTGCGCCGAGTCGAAATCGGGATACTTCGTCGAGTAATGGACAAAGTGCATCTGTCAAGCAGAAAGCGGCCGTTAATAAGGCTAAGAACTATTGAGCATACAGTAGTTATCGTATGTTCCGAGAAGGTTTCGTAGATATATCACAGGCTAGTGTTTATATGATGTACGCCATAAACAATTATGGAGTTTGTTGGTGAGGGCAGACTGTAATTCTTATATATACATACATATATATGTATGGTATGTACACACCTCTAGTGGGTACTGTTTCCCGTCGATGAAGTGTTCAGAACCTTTGCTGCTCGAATTCCCCCAATGCATGTGGAACTGCCCCAGCATGTACGGCGTACTAAAAACCGTGCTGTTAATGGAATAGCTTCCAGAGCCCATTATCACTTGAACTGAAATGAATTTCAAAATATTACATGTATATCACCTTTAAATTCAGTGTCAATAGCCTTTATCTTTACAACGTTTCACATTTATTTATTGTTCAACAGCATTATTTTCCACAGCATATATTTGCATTTTTGGACATTTAAACGCCTACAATCTTAGAGTAACACTGATAATTTTGGTCTGAATTGTACCAAATAAAATTGTTTACAGAGCTAAGGAATGTCAGGCAAAGTGCATCACACCAGCTACTACTCATAAGAAGGTTTTTGTTACCCATAGCACATAAATAACCCACCACCAAGAATGGAAACAGTGAAAGGATTATTGGTAATATGTACCAAAGCACACTAGACACGCTGCATTAAAGATTCACTTGAAGTCAAATTTTTGCCACAATAGCCAACCAAATGCCAACGTATCGTTTCAATCAGCATTACTTAGAGCAATATCATCGTTTCATATTTCCGTAAAAGTTATTTGAGCGGATATTTTCTACTTACTTTCTATGCTGTAAATAACCTGGACAGATATTTTGGGCAGATAAGTAGGTCAATATATGATCCAAAAAATTGACAAAGGTTTTAAAGCTCTTTTATGGCTGATTGGGCGATTAATACGGTTTATCCCTTGGGATGTCGTATAAGAAACTAGTAAAAATGGTTTATATGCGTTACTTGGAGTCCACACCTGTCTCAAATTAGGATTCAATTTAATAGACAGTGTCATTATTGTACTGTACACTGTTCACATATACATGTTCAGCGTAAAATATACGTGTACGTAGCACCCTGTGGGTCAACGCCCCCACACTACATATTATTATTATATCATCGAAACGGGTATACGCTACTGGTTGAGCACCACACCCTATGCTTTGTAGTGAAATGATAATCAGTACATCACTGTACTAAAATTTTGAAACGTTTTGGGAAAAGAAGAACTGCATTATTCCAATGTATGCAAATTGCATCCAACTCCATAATACAGTGTGCATTGCTACATGTTGTAATGATTTTAGAGACTATGGAAGCACTGGGGTGGTATATCTACCCATGTATTCATTCATTTAACCAATCCTTTACTATTTATAAAAGCTGCAGAACTCACGTGAACTAACATTCAAAAAGTAGCATACAACTAGGGACAATTAAATTTTATTTATAATTTGATATTTTTTAACTGTGCGTGATAACTGTTTACAAACAAAGTGATCTTTGTTACCTGAGTGCCCGTTGTTTTTAAGCGTCCATGGCCCGTTAGTTTGATCGTATCCCGAAAAAACTATGTTGTCTAAATCCTTGTCTTCTTTCACGTCTTTTGTTTTGATGTCAATTGGAGACTGGTGGCTCCCTCCGCAGGCCGCATATCCTGATTGGTCCTTCCAGTGTGCGGGACCTTATGGTTAACATCAAAAGAAACTTTAATAAGTATCAACATGGTTATGCTACAGTACATTGTTTTACAATAGAAAAAAGCATATCTTATAAAGGTGTGGTTTCAGTGTTGACTGTAATAGTGTTCGCATTTTAATTCTTTAAAATGCACAACAGCAACATAATTGTAACAAGTGGAAATTCTGAAGAGACACAACCGAACGTTTAAAGGTAAAATTTGTTGAGAGGCACAGTTGAGGGTCCTTCCGTGAAAAAGTAAACATTTGAGTTATGTCAGTAGCGCACACATTTTGTCAAAAATCAATTGTTTTATATAACGTTTTATTCACTGTTGATTTACTGTTTGATTTCGGTATTCGAGGTTATTAGAGTGTTAACTGCAAAACAACAGGACAAGTCAAAAATTATACAAAACGTGTGCGTCACTGACGTTTCTTTCCTTCAATCCACTCGAATGTTCATTTTTGTGGAATTACCCAAATTATTATGCCACTGATATTTGGACAGTAACATCAAACTTATCAAACAAATAGAGATTTAATTGTGCCAAAGTTATTACCAACCATGGGATCCACTTCCATAGTTCCATTCTGTAATCGAAAAGAAAAGAATTTTCAAATTGTTGGTTAAAATCAAAACTTAGAGAGAAGCTGTCTTACTATTGAGAGAGAGAGAGAGAGAGAGAGAGAGAGGGGAGAGGGAGGGAGGGAGAGATTGTTAGAATATGGCACGGCAGGCATTGATAGCTGCGTTTCACCAGTCCATCAATAGTTTTTATTTATTTATTAACGTGACTTATGATATGAGTTCATCACCAGGCCTCATGGGCCTACAAGTCACCGTTCTTTGTACATATATATCAGAAACAGAGAAGAAATATATATATATATACATATACAGGGTTACTACTTAATATGGAATATTATTTTTTGGCGAGTTAATTTTCTACAAAATATTTATTTTCTCTCTTACTACTTTAAATCCAAAACTGTGGTGCCATTCCATGTGTAGCCAGGTGTGTTACCTAATTATCACACAACTCTCGAAACAATTGATGCATGCAGTTGCATGTTCTGTGGTCAGTAATGTGAGGGGTGGTCTTCTCGGCAATTTCTGCCCTTGTATAAAAACGCATGGGTTTGGCCAATCTTTGGAGTGTATTTAGAGAAGCAACAAAGGGATCGCTCTGAAACTTGACAGGTACCTTAGAGAAGATATGGTTCGACAGCTTAGCAACGCAGCTTACTATGGGATTCTTGCTGTTAGAGAAAATGGTCAAAAACGGACAGCCATTGCCAGGCAAGGCAACATTTATCAGGAACCGTTAGTAAAGTCCTCCAAAGAAATGATACAACAGGGGCACCTACTCCAATACGTCGACCAGGGTGTCCGGGTATCACACCAAGAAGACAGGATCGGTTTCTCCTTAAAGCGCGCCGTGCTGGTCGTACAAAGACAGCCAGTGTCCTCAGAAAAGAGTGGCAGAATGTCATTCAAACGCCCGTTTCAAGGTCCCTCGTGAACAAGAGATTACTGCAAGTCGGCTATTTTGCACGAAGACCAGTAGGGAAACCACTGTTTACAGCAGGTTATACACAGCGACGTCTGCAATGGGCTGGGGACCACGTGCGTTTGCAGTCAAAACACTGGAATCACGTCGTTTTCGGTGATGAGGCCAGATATGGAGTTTTAAGGGTTGACGGTCGAATTCGTTTCCGCCAACGTGTACGAGAGGCATAAAACGATTATTGTGTACTGCCTAGGGTGCAAGCAAGGGGTAGTAACGCCTCTGTTTGGGGAGCATTTCATGCCCGTGAACCAGTTGGTTTTCCTAGGGGGCAACCTCAACCAGGGTTCCTACAGAGCCATTCTACAGCAAACAATACTTCGATTTGTAAGAGTCATCTTCAGGAACAACTTTGTGTACCAAGACGACTGCGCAACCCCCACATCGAACTCGCAAAATCACTGTTTTTTCTTCGAAACCAATGGGTTCAGCAACTGCCCTGGCCTGCAAACTCCCCAGATATGAACCCAATTGAAAATCTGTGGGCGGAAGTAACTCACAGAATTAATAGCTATGGTCATCGGCCGGTAAATAGTGATGAACTACGACAGGCAAATATCACTGCGTGGAATGATATCCCCATCCAAACTCTAATAATCTTGTGACAGGATATGCCATGTAGGATGAGGGCGCTGCAAGCGGCTGTTGGAAGTCATACCCGCTATTGATGACTTTTCAACATTTCACTGTCCGGAGGCTATCATTTTCTTTAATATTTTAGCTTAAAATTGATACTGGCATCAAAATGTTGATATGGTTTTCTGGGGGTGTTCTTTTCTTTTGAATGGCATCTTATGTCATATCTGATATTATTGACCAAAATATCTCACAATAGAAGACTGGATGTTTTTATCACTCAATGACATACATGATGAATCAAGCCAAAAACATTTTAATCAGCACTCAAAAATAACAATGATAAAAAATATTCCATATTAAGTAGCAACCCTGTATATATTATTCTAAATTATTATGGGAAAAGCAAATATCATCCGGGCAAATCCCATTAATCTGTTTCGCTTTTATCCTCCGACTGAAATCAGTGTAGGTGAATTGTTCACCGACTTTTTGCTTTTCTTCTCTCTCGGCCTGCTGAAGTCAGAACGGGGATATGTCTGACAAAACTGTACTCAATAAACGTACGCGTATAATGTATATACCGATACCTTGAACCTAATAGCGTTGCTACTTTCTAAATATTTTCTAGGTGCAAAAGGGCTTGTTCTACTCCTCCTCAGTTTCATTCCTGCAATATAGACTGATAATATTAGGTAAGAGCACACCTTACTACACCGTTTCAAAAACTAACGCATACCAGATCCAACCGATTCTTATGTTAGGTTTGAATGAAAACAAAACACGTGCCAGATATCTTTGATTTAATTTTTGAACATGGATCATCCTATATTTCCAAGTTTTGGTCACATATCCGTTTTAAGCCGTAGGCATGGCAGATTAACATACAACTCAATTTTTTCTCCATTATAACCACTATTATCAGCCTAGTCGTAGTGTGTGTTATTCGTTACTGAAAAAAGAAAGTTTTTCAAGGACTTGTTGGGGGATATGCGCATACATATTTAGTAACGAAAATGGTTACTATTTCCTCTGAGATATTTCAGAGATCTCCTGTAAAAATATTATATTATTATTTATAATAATAATTATAATTATTATCATTATTATTATTATGTCTTGACCTGCAACGGTTATTGAAAGGCATGCAAGACGGTACTACCTGTAGAATAGAGACATTCTGCATTGCTTAGACTAGTGTCAGGGGAGAAAGTAGCACAGGACGCTTTTTATGGATCAGTTTAGTAACGATTTAGATAAGCAAATCTGTATAAACTTAGCCTCCTATACAGACAGGACAAATGTGTCAAATCAAAATGAACATGTAATTCATTTCTTGGGTTTTCCGCCCAATGCAGTCCTCTATCATAGGCCTGAAAAAGGGAATAATCATCAGTATTATAAATCATTAAAAAAAATAATTGAATAAATAAATGCATTCACAAAGCAGCCTACGGAGGTGTAAGGACAGATATTTCGCTTTTTTATGCTCACTACATTGCATCATTCACATATATCATTCCAGTCATCCATTAATTCATTTATTCATTCATTAATTCATTCATGCATTAATTAATTCATTCATTTATTCATTCCAGTACCAATCACTGATATGGTGTGCGACCTGTAGACCTGCCTAGAACGATTAGAAAAGGGCGATCTTGGTGCGGTTGCCACACATACCTGAAATATCTAGCCAGCTTGTATACAGACGAGACATATTGTGTAATCTTTTTCAGACATATGTTGCTGTCGTAATCTATACCAATTGTGGCGTTTTAAAAATAAGTCAAGTGCTGATAAAGACCACCACCATTGTCAGGTAGAACCTAACACCATTTTATACACAGATGGTTTGATGTATAATGAACGTGGACTGATCAATGCCTGCATAACGTCATTGCACAAGAAGGGGACAGAAATCAACCTTGACCTCCCGTGGCGATTGGACATTACACAAATCGAATTCCAATCACTTTCGTCAAATAGATACTGTTTTCATCTTTATCAAGCCCAGTCGTATTTCTCTCAACGATGTGTTCAGTAGTTAGTGGACAAGAATTTCTATGAAAGTACTAAATATTACGCGATACTTGATGTCATCCTGGCTCAACTAGATTGTTACACTGAGCTCTTGTTCAGAACTGATCGTCTCTGTTATACCAGCCAGTAGAGCAGCTTTTTACTACCTAGCACACCCTTTTCTCTATTGATAGGCCTATCGCTATCACGTGTGTCTACAAAATAACATTATAGACACTTGTCTCTGGGATTCTTACCTGCTCCCTCTCCAAGAACACTGCACAGCAGAGCAGCAAAAATCAAAACCTGTACAACGGTTTCCATTTTAATTTCACTGTGACGATGTTGCATATCGCAGCTTTATTATTGTACATGTGTTCGAACTGAAATTGATAGGACTCTCCGTTGGGGTGTTATCTCGTGGCTTATCAAATTTTACACAGTCATATCTACCTTAGCTGTTAGCTCAACCCATCACGGGATCAGTAGCTATTTCTGTAATGTATCACTAGTAATTATAAATAGGGCCCATTGTGGATTGTGTGTGTGTGTGAGAGGGGGGGGGGGGGAGGGATTACAGAATTAACCCTTACACTGACACCATCTCGAAATATAAACATTCATTTACGAAAACCACAAGTCATGTGATCTTGGAGATCAACAATTTTTGGTAGGGCCTACGTTTGCCACTCAAGTAACATTCTGAAGAGGCTCGGTCAAATATTAGTATATCAGTTTTAAGTCTGCCAAAAAAGTGCTTAAAGATTAATTTATTTCATATCTCTCTTGATGGGGTCTTGCCTAAAATGCCCTGAACATTGAACCTGTTGCTTTGAGTAGTGGGCAGGTTAAAAATACCTGTTCTCATGTTTTATAAAGCAAGTCCCTCATTTTTTGTAATTGCCTTTTCAACTGGCAATGAAATGGTCAGTGCAAGGGGCAACTTAAAACTTTTGATCCATCAATAAAGACTCTTATTCTCTTCTATCATTCTCCTGCCTTCACTCTAATCAGTGATTGATATAAAAAACATTGAATAAACGTTCTTTTGATGAAAATTCATAAGTTTGACACATTTGTTGTTGGGCTATAGGTACAACGCATGCATTTGAATTCTTTGTAAGATAACAAAAACCAATGACAATCTATTAAACTCTCCATGATCGATATCGTTGCTGAGTTAAACAATAAAATAAATGACGATACAAAAAGAGCGTCTAGCTCGGAGGCTCCGTTCAGGCTCCGGTCAGGATACCCCCTTATGTAACAGCAAGTTTATTAAGTTTTTTACCCTACCCCCCCCAAAAAAAAAAAAAATCATTGGCATGAAATGCATGACTGTGAACTGTACTACGCCTGCGTTTCATGTTGTCGACAACTGTTGTGTTATTTATTTATTTATTTATTTATTTATTTATTTATTTATTTATTTTCCAAACGTCCATGTCTCAAAAACGCACTGCACACACATTTTGGTTTCATTTGAATTTTTAACAAATTTTCGGCTTGAATAACTCATGTGTTGCCGTTTAATAATTTATTCTGAATCTTATATTTTATTAATCATCCCTCATTTTTCATAAATTTCGAATTTAATTCTTTTAGTTCGTCTAAGCATAAACTCTGCGCTCGCATAATGACGACTGATTTGCGTTGCCGGTGTTAAGAGTATATGTAGCAGAGTGTTCGCCCTCCCTTAGATTTATACAGGTTAGGGGCAGCGTATCTTTGGTGGGCCAAAATCTAGGAAATGAATAAGCTAATGGGAACAGGACCTGTTTCACATGCCACCGGTCCTGCCTGGCGGTGATCTGTTGCACATGTAGGTGGGACATAAGAGTGCGAGGACTGTAGTTTCCGTATAATGACCTTCCACTGAAACGCCGATGTAAAATATAAGTAAAAAGGGTGTATTTATTTAATAAAAATGACGACGAGCTAGTGATTCATTAGAAAGTGACTTGCGTTTTTAAGTAGGAATATCAATTTACTGACTTGAACCTGAAAATAAACTGAAAACCTTGCCATGTCAACTTTCCTAGCTTTCCTGGACAGTGGACTGATCCAAAGCACTGGCTCGAATAGAAGTAAGTGGTCAAGGTGAACAGTGGTCAAGCAATGCCCTTTTTGCAGATGTCACATGCATAGACAACCAACGAAGAGGGGGCTTGTGTTTCTCTCGATTTCTTTCGTGAAGAACAGAGGATAACAGAGGTATACGCTTCTAGAAAAGATGGCTGCGTGTCTATGCCAGCAATAGAAATAGGGGTAACGGGGTGTATATATATCGATGGATCATCTTCTACTTCATCCATCCATTCTCCTAACCTAGCTCTTGCTTGTATCTTTTAACATGCGCACGTATGGTATCACGCAATACATTTATCCCAGGTATATACTACATGTAACTGCACACATAATACTGTACTTAATGGGTAACACCTAGGTGCCTGAAAACCCCCTTCAAAACTGTTGAATTTTTTTGTGTTATTTTTAGATTTAACTTCATCTGTGTGTCTCCTCATCAAGAATGAAACAGCTGTACGGTGCAGTGGCGTTGTTTGCAGTTCTCTGTTTGAATGGAATAAGCAGTAAGCAATTGAAGGAAGAACAGATGCAAATCCATGAAGACGGTGAAAGAGCATTTAAAGAACGAATTGTGGCTAACACTCGCAGTCTACTGCAACAAGCAGGACGTATCAAAGTGTTGAAGGAAACTGGAAAAGGTAGGGCCTTCTACTGAATTACTCGTGCATAATTAGATATGGGCTTTAAACAAAGCCACCTGACTAATCTTATATGGTTCAGTTGCATACGTCGTTGTCACATTTTTTGTATATCTTAGTATACTCGAAACCCAATGAAACTATCGTTCTACCTCGGCCGATGCAACTCCGCGAGGACTACGCTGAAGGCAATCAGAATAGCAGATAAACACGCCTGTTAAACTGATTGCATTCAACGTGAGCCCCCGCAGAGTTGGATCGATCTGCATAGAACGACAATTTCACTGGTAAAGAGCCCCAATGCCAAGGCAAGTTAAGGCAAGACTGCACGAAGATAGCTTTGATTCTGTGTACATTTTACATTCTAGCGCGTCTTATAAAGGCAAATAAGGGATATGGGGTACGCAACCAGTACGTTATTCGATTGAAGGAAGGACTAACTGATAAACAAGGTACTGATACCTCTAACGTAAAATTTTTTTATTTTAACAGTGGGGTCGATTGGGGCCTATTTCTATGTACGCTAATAATAATAATAATAATAATAATAATAATAATAATAATATCTCGATATGAAGAGTGACTTGGAACAAAAGAAGTATTTTAACTCTGTTCTCTTCCTATGTGAGTATTTATAATTATTGTCTTTTTTTAAACAGAAGACAAGGAAGATAAATGACACAATCGTTGTCTTTCAACTTTTAAAACGATTTTTGTAACGATACAAATAAGTTCCATTTATTTTCTTCGTGTCATCAAATAGAACCCTCGCTCCCATTGAGAGTACGAGTGGGCGCTGATGCAATTTTGCAATTTTTTTTCAAAATTATCTCGGTATTTTATTTGCTTACCAGCTAGCTTTACTATTTTTATCTCCTTAGTTGCACGGTTTCTGGAGACGATTCCGCGGTACAAAGGCGACCACATTAAATTTAACAGTGAAACAGACATAGTAATGGTGAAGCTTACAGAAAGGTAAGTCTACGTGCAAAACCCATACAACGTTTGTGGTGCGAATTCTTCTAAATCTAGGGAGTATAATCACATGAACAAGCTAGGGCTTCTTTTCACCCTAACAGGAGTTATCCTGTACAAGGAGTTATACTAACAGGAGTTATACTGTAAAGACAGTGCAGCTAAGGTCCAAAATAAAACGACGACGAATGTGTTAAATTTCATTTTTGTAATGCACTTTCCATCTTTTGTAGCGAGGTGGAAGAAGTAAGAAAGAACACAGATATTATTGAAGAAATCGAGCAAGATGTTATAGTGAAAGTTAATGACGATTTTAGAAGCTGTCATGAATACAACGTACTTGACTTATATGGACTGTGGGTGAGTACAACTAAGAAAGATGGTGTGTTTTGTTAAAAAATTTGTAGCTTGCTTTTTACTTTATTTATTTAGTTTCATTTTAAAGCAGAATATACCTCTCGTATTCTTACAAGTTGGGCGCTTTCCCCTCGATTTACACACCTGCATCATGCCTCTTTCAAAACTTAAAAGGCTCAGAAAGGATTTTAGCCGTCCTTAGCACGGAAGCAGTCACGGAAGGACAATGTTCATGTAAAAATCCATTTCTCGAATTTTGAAGATTCAGCACTCAATCTATACACTAGAGGTATGTTTTAATCGATCCCCGCCATTTAAAAAATTATAAAAACAATCTATTAATAGTAAAAANTTCAGGCCATTCTGACGGCATGAAGCAAACCCTTTAAATACTGGTGAGTTTTGTAGCCTCTTTCAGTTTCAAAATGTTTGAGATATTCATAACACTTTTATTCATGTCGTGTATACAAGTAGTAAATATTCAATGACACCGTGCAAAATATGATCAAATATTTTATTTTAAATCATTACAACATTTACAAAACATCATCATTTTCATTCTCATCACTATCTGGGATGCATCCACTGTTCACATACACGTATTCACAGCTCATGCAGAGGCACGATTGACTACATGGTAACTTTTTTCGCCTTCTGGATCCCCGTATTGACCTTTCACTTTCCTTATAGGGAATGATGAACGTCATACCGATTGATATAAATGACATTTAATTACCAAAAAGTCAAAATGTCAACTGTAAATTAATCTATAATTGATATCAAATTAACTAAAAGATGCGTGTCGCACATGATAAATATTACATAAAGGGATTTTTTTTTTATATTTTCACAAAAATTCAGTTTATCATTCAATATGTAAATCGATGAAATGGGTGTAATTTATAGTCATAAGTGATAAATATAGTACTCGTGCACATCAATTTTCCGTTGGATTTTTTAAATACAAGCTCAAGTAGTAAAGAACATTAAGAAACCGAAAATAGTACTTTCACCCCAAAGCCACCGATATGAAATCATCAGAATAATGACCATAGTATTTTTGAAGACAAATAATATTAATGGACAAATGATAATATTATAACCACCGATTTTATGTAGAGTCGTTTTTCAGCCTGATTTTGGCTTACATGGTATAAAGCTCTGCCTCTTCTAAGCAATAACTACACGTGAACGGTGAAATAGGTCACAATCTTGGTGGACCACGCATACGCACTTTTAGGATATACATATATATCCTAAAAGACCTTTTCCCGGACCTTTTGTCGGCAAAAATTCGGCTTATTTCGAATTTATGTAATATATATTACTTTTTTTTCAGGGCTTGGACAGAGTTGACAAAATCCGAGATGACAATCGCCTGCTAAGCTGGGGTAACGGCAGTGGAATAGATGTCTATATTATTGACACTGGAATAAGACCCAGTCATGAGTGTTTTGCAGGAGGGAGAGTGACACTTGGCTTTCCCGACACGTCAGAAACGGCCGCCATTGACGACCATGGTCACGGCACTCATGTCGCGGGCACAGTTGGTTGTTCAAAGTACGGAATTGCTAAAGAAGTTCACCTGATCGCTGTGAAGGTATTAGATGGCAACGGAAGCGGTACCTCCCAGGGCGTTCTAAACGGAATGTACTGGGTGCTTGAGCAGGTGCGTGCTAGAAAGCGCACATCTGTGGTGAATATGTCCTTAGGCGGAGGCTACAGCACTGCGTCGAACGACGCCGTTGCAGCCTTGGTTGATGAAGGTATCCCTGTCGTCGTCGCTGCAGGAAACGATAATGAAGACGCCTGTCTCAGTTCCCCATCCAGTGCCCCCAAAGCAATTACAGTAGGTGCAACCACCTCGTCTGATTCCAGGGCGGATTTTTCCAACTATGGCCGTTGTGTAGATATATATGCCCCCGGAGACCGTATTCTCTCAGCAACTAATAAAACCGACACTTCCACTGCAGTAAAGAGTGGCACATCTATGGCGTCTCCTTTAGTCGCTGGGGCGGTTGCGGCACTGGGATCGGTGTTCGTTGCAGAGGGTTACTTCCAGGAAAATACCCCTGCGTTTGAACGATTGGTGAATCATTATTTGATGTATTTTGCCGTTACCACACCTGGGGAAAACCACCGCTTGCTACATGTTGAATGTTTATCTTCTTCTTGAATGTTAATCTTCGACTGCTAGATAAAATTCCACTCTCGTAACCTGTAATTAGTTTCATTCAAATGTTAAGTGCTGTAGTTTATTGTACCATCAGCATAGGCGCTGGCGGTACACATGGTTTTAGTCCCGACCCGTCTCGTCCGCCGTATCCGCTGCCATGTCACCGTTACTGCGACTACAAGAACCTGCGTGTTGGTGCACGGGTTTAGGTGTGGCGCTCGTCGCAATGCACCCTTGTCCAAAATTTGGATTTGAACTTTTACTTTTCCCCATGATTTTGTTACATAGTGTAATTTTCAACAAAAAAAACCTGAAAACTTTTTAGTGCATTTTGTAGAGCTTGTCCAGCACAGCACTGGAGGCGCGGCAGTGTATCTTTTTGTTTAGTTTTGTTTTCCATACGAATGCGCTTACTCCAGTTGTTGGTACAATACCCGAAAGCGGTATCGCCTCTCTGATCCTCTAGTTTACCTCTTATTTTGAACTCTATAGCTAGTTGACTTAGTGCAAATTGTTTGAAATGGCAGATGCTATTATATAAATGAGTGTGTACCACTGCAGACTTGCGTCACTTTCTCTTTGTTGGTGTTCTAACTTTGTATTTTTTAAAAATCTTTTTGTAATGTATCATATCACATTTTCTTGATGGCCACGCACGGTCATTCCTATTTCTCCTTGCACCCTTTGAATTTAAGTGACAGTGGTGAATGTGGTAGGGAGATTTGTTACTTTCAAAAGAATAATTAGTGAATAAATTAAAAAACAGATAAACGATATAATTATAAGGATACTTCCTTGGCGTTTTCTATTTTTTCACAACTTTTCGATTTCCATTCCGTTAAATAAATGTCACTTGAAGCAGTTATAAGATTGCAGTCGGATCGAGTAAAATTTTCGAGTATTAGTGATAGATACTCCAAAGTATTTCAATGACGAACTACCCTCTACCAGGGCCATTTATTGATTTTTCACTAGATATTCGCATATTTGCATGAACATCAAAAATGAAAAATACGATTTTGATTTCAGATTAAACTTTATTTTGCCTTAAATTGTGCTGATAATATGACAGATCAACCCCAGGCCAACCCGAAAATTTGAATCACGAGTCTTAATTTGATCGGATTCCCTTGCTTATTATTCAGAAAGCTATAATTAAGAGATTATTCTATTNTTTGTTCTATGACTGATTAAATGTTCTCCGTCATCCATTAGTAGTCCTCAAGGTATATATATAAATTAATCAAATTCTGAAACTTATAATGTTATGTACCAATGTCCCTGATATCTTTCACAAGAAACTGATTCCCATGCGCTGGTCAAGTGAGGCACTGGCGACGATTCCAAGGCGTATGGTTCAAGTGACCAGCTCATTAAGATCGATATTTTTGAAAGACCTTGGGTTAATTTCACAACTAAATTCGTTACACAGTAACTCACAATATCTAATTTTCTTATATTTCTTATTTGGATCTTTCTCAAAATTCAACTTACCCATAAGGCGCTCTGAAGTTGACTGGTAACGCAATCATCAACAGCATGGACTACGTTGTTTTGTTCGATTTCCTTGATTAAATCGGTATAGTCTCTTAGGGAGTCCAATTCTCTGTAATGTACACAAATAATTAAAATAGTTAACATTAAACACACACACACACACACACACACACACAGTGTTTTTCAAAGAATATACTATAAGTGATTTCATGTCAGAGGTTTAGCTACCCGTGTAACATCATTGCCACTTAGTCTCTTAGGGAATCCAATTGTCTGTAATGTGTACAAATAATCAAATTAGCTTGCATTGAACACACGCGTGACACACACACACACACACACACACACACACACAGACACACCTCAGTAAAATCTATAATAGATACAATGTAGGCTACTCTGTTTTTAAAAGATATAATATAAGTTATCTCATCTCATGTCAGAGGTTTAGCTACCCGCGTATCATTTACTGCCACTTACTCTTCTTCGACATCATCAATTAGAACAAAGTTCGTTTTGGGGCTGAATTTCACCCGCTTGGATTTGCCTCTCAAACCACTCCCTTTTAACATCTGTTTTACTGGAAAATACAAAGTAATTGCAAAGTTAAATAATGTATTAAGAAGACCTGAAGTTACTATATTAAAAATTGCAATATTTTACATCCATACGTACGATGAACATGTTGCGAGTATTTCCTCCCGCTGTGCATCAATAAAAAACGACATGGTAGCACATTTTTTGTTTTTATTCAAATACATATCATTAAAATCTACCGGAAGTCCTTCCATTTTGAGCCTCCTTTTTAAACCTATTCAATCCCAGAATGAAGGGTATCTCAGGCGACTGAAGTTAGCCATCATGCCAGTTATACGAATAAGCGCAAGATAGGCATCTAAATGCAAATAAATTTTTCTCAAGCCCCCAATGCCAAAAAAAGTTCTAGAAAAAACGAATGAAATCATTGCCCAGGAAGAAAAAGCGCATCGATAATTCTTTCTTGAGAAAAATACAGGGAGGATGTGCCATAAACTTTCTCACGTATACGATGATTGGGGCTTGCAACCTCTACCAGGGCTGCAGTTATCATTATGTGGACATTTGCGCTGAGGCGTAGAGAGAATAACCGTGACCTTTGCCAGAGACATATCTGTGAATATCTGGTGAGAAATCAGTCTGTGCCCCCGATGGGTAGGGGCTTGCCTGGTCATCTCAGCTGGTAATTATATAAGCTGCTTTGTGTTAAACTGACAAGCAAGTTCTAGCGCATGTCTAATTACTAGCTACCGTTCATATAATCATACCTGCCGGTATGCTTATCAACAGAATCGACACCACTTGCATGTGCTAATTAGTGACTTTTAAGAAATGTTCGTGGAATCGCAGCCGTACCAGGGGTTATCTTAGAGAGGGGTGAGAAAGTGACATAGTTCTCATTAGATCGGCTAACCATTTTCAGGGTATGTACGCACAGAAAGAAAAATCGTGAATTGTAGGAACGTTACTGAAGAAGCCACAGGGAATCTTAGTAGATGTTAGTCCAAGGTCTTGAATAATATCTTCCTTGACGACTTAACATTTGTCAAAGACAAAAAGACCCAGGTGTGGTGGATCGACTTACTGCTGTTCATGCATGGCGCAGAGGCCAAGCCCTAATTGACCATGAAGGTCACAAACCAATATCGAGAAATGACGGTTTAGTCATAAAGGTAATACGTTTCCACCCTCTGGTCGTACGCTACAAAAAACGACATCTTACTTTTATAAAATTGCGCAAAAGGCTGCAAATTAAAGCTGCGTGACGTCTTGGCAAAAATTAGTGATAAGATGTGATTGGTTGATAATTTTAGAGAACGATCACACGGTATAAAATTAAAGCGTTGACCATGGATAAGAAAACCACGCTTTAATTTCTTAATAGTATTTATTTTATCCATTATACAAACTGACTTTGAATTGGGAAATAAGTCAACGTATTATACCCATTAATGATTTTATATCTAATGCTATCATGATTTTTTAATCAGCACTGGAAACTTACCTCCCTTATTCGAAACGTTTTCCTTAAGCGTGACAATGTATGACTTTGGAACTCCTTCCCCTTGTGCTCCGGCTTTCACAAGACGGACTGAAATCATGACGAGGTGACGGGTTTATCGCCATTGCTTTTGTATATATATGGCTTTTAATGGTTTTAACTGAATCATAACCAAGTAGCAATATCACCGACAAGTCATGGCGCAGACATAATATCGTGAAAGCTATATTACACATTTACTGAAATCACTTTACTGTTCATTACGACCAAGTCAATAAGTATGTTTTAATTGCACTTAATGATACGGTAAAGTCATCTTTGAAAACGTGAAAATACTGTGTGTTACCTTTTCCACTTTGCTCATCCACCAGTAGCTTGCCTTGTTTAGACAATTCCTTGCGTATCAAGTGGTCTCTCTCGTCATCGGACAGACCTTTGTCTAATTGGAGACCACCTTGTTTCTTTTCATCTCCCTCTAATTTCCCCGATTCTTTTGGATCTTTTTCTTGTCCATCATCTTCTTCAGAAGTTTTAAAAGGAATCTTTTTTTCATCTTTTTCTGGTACAGAGGGTGCTACTGCAGGTGATGGTTTATCTCCAGCTTTATTTTTTGCACCGTAAACGACAGCGACCACGGTCAGTGCTGCCAATATAGCGAAAGTGGTCTTCATATTTTTCTGTGGTTTGAAGACCTTGAAAAAACATACGAAATTTAGCTTTATTTTCACTTCCACAAAAAACGATTCAGCATTCTTATCAATTCAGTTTCTCTTTCTTTTGTTTTGTGAAAAACAAAACTTGCCTGCATCAGTGGCAATGACTACTCAAATTCTATCTACAGATAGAATACCAAAAAGTAAAAAGAACTGTACCCGTATGTACATTTATGTTTGTTCAGTAAGAAGTTAGAATGTAATACCAGTCGCTCACTTTGCACTTGTTTTAACAAAGGAAGGTCTGTTTTAACTTGAGCAGGGAAAAATAACTGACAGTTATGCTTCCATGGTTTGATATGATATATCTGAGATAAATATCATCAAAACACAAGGTGGCAATGATTACTTACCGTCAGTAATGGACACCGGATGAAGGTAAACACCGCACTGTTACCTTTGCTGTGCAGAAGTTTCTGACGTTGTGTTCGAGTTTGAGATTTTTGTTCGTTCTCCTTTCAGCTGTGTATCCTCTAGTGGCCACAGGTTCTTGGTGAGGCTTTTTATGTCCTGGTGACTGTCTTTATAATCTGATAAGAATGACGTATGTGATTCGTGTTATGTAACAGATGAAGCGGTGTGACGTATAGACAAAAGTAAAAGTTGTCGAGCACCGCTGCCTCAGCCACTCACAATGTGCCACTTACCTGTCAATGTTATCACCATCAAATTACCAGTATACCATGCCCAGAGCGTTTTCCCGATTTACCTCAATACAGGCCTGCATGGGTGGAGCTGAGAATCTGATGATGTAACTGCCACCTCGGCCATTTTCTAATTTAACGGCTTACGTATTTGCATAACTTGCCATCTAGCATTATTATTATTATCATCCTTTACCCAGTTGTCCAAATGACACCAGATGCTGGTGCATATGAGCAAGTAAATATATATTTGCCTCGATCTTTGTATAATTGCATTTGTTCATAATTGAATAAGTAAGTTACGATAAAAAAACATTCATACTCTGCACACCTGATTCAGTGATGTTTGAATGTCCAAAATAGGTTTTAGGTTCGTGTTGTCCTCAGACTGCACCTGCAATCATAACTGGCGCAATCACAGTTGCAATCTCAACTACTGCAATAGTAGCAAAAATGAATACCTACAGTTTAGCTGGCTACTCCATAACTTATACTGGTAATTATTTAAACTGCAGCACCAATAGTATTTGTACTGTTGAGAATGAAAACCGTGGTAAAGTAGACGTCTTACATATCAACTGAATTTTTGTTTTATGCACACGTTTATTTCAATAACCAAATGACTTAAAGGGGAATAGTAGTCTCTGGGGGACCTAAATTCAATAAAATCCGACCTCCCTCTTCTCTCTAGATCTGCCCATCACGTTTTACCCACTGTAAGGTAAGCGTAACTGACATTGGCCTATGTATAACAATGCGGCGTGTAATGCCTTTGCACGGGTACGACATGTTAACCTTGCAAATAAAGCACTTAACGATACAAAAAATGGAACACATTATCCTGGACTTTCGTGCATTCTGATCATGTAAAACATATCTTCCTAGTAGCGCTTGGACTATTTTTAAACGATTATTTAAAAGCGGCTACGCGGATCATGGACAGAGCTGAAACCAGGAAAACTAACTGTATTAAAAAACTAAAATGAAATACTGTAAGGCTTATTTCGGCGTTTATTTGCAAACGTACGTCTAGAGAGAAGAGGGGGTCGGATTTTATTGAAATTAGGTCCCCAGAGACTTGTATTCCCCTTTAATTTTTGGCGAAACACTGCATCTGAAAGAAATCCATACTCACTGAAAGTAGTCCTAAAACAGCCAGACCGTCAGAATTATTTTTCGCCGCGTTGAAATCGGCATACTTCGTCGAGTAATGAACAAAGTGCATCTGTCAAGCACAAGGCGACCGTTAATAAGGCTAAGCACTATTGAGCATACAGTAGGTACCGTATGCTACGAGAAGGTTTCGTAGATATATCACAGGGTAGTGTTTATATGGAGCTTGTTGGTGACGGCAGACTAAATCTTATATACATGCATGGTACACATGCATGTACTGTTTCCCGTCGATGAAGTGTTCGGAACCTTTGCTGCTCGAATTCCCCCAATGCATGTGGAACTGCACCAGTTTGCACGGCTTGCTAAAACATTGCTGTTAATGGAAATTATGGAATAGTTTCCAAAACCTATTATTATTTGAATTGAACTAAATTTCAAAATATTAAATCACCTTAAGATTCAGTGTGAATGGCCTTTGTCTTTATAATGTTTCTCATTTTTTTATCATTCAACGATTTTCCACAGCATATATTTGTATTTTTGGACATTTGAACGCCAACAATCTGGAGTTACAGTTTGATAGTTTTGGTCTGATTCTTACCAAACAAATTGTTCTCAGAGATAAGGAATGTCAGGCAATCTGCATCACGCCAGTGACTTTTCATAAAAAGGTTGTTCACCCGAAGAGCATCTTAAACTAATCCATCACCAAGAATGGAAAGAGTGAAAGAATTGGTAAAGGATTATAATATAAATATTGGTAATATACACACACGAGTTTACCAAAGCGTACTAGAGAAGTATCATTAATGGTTCACTTGAAGTCGAACTTTTGCCACAAAACCAACCAACCAAATGCCAACATATACATGTAGTTTAAAACAGTATTGGTTAGGATATCGCTTCATATTTCCCCAAAACGAAATTTGAACGGATATTTTCTGGTTACTTTCTATGGTGTATATAACCAGGGCAGATAAGTTGGTCAGATAATAGGTCAATATATGACCAAAACTTGACGAAGGAGCAGTTTAAAAGCTCTTTTATGGCTGATTTAGTGATTAATACGGTTTATCCCTTGATATGTTGACTTAATTTGAGTCGTATAAGAAACTACTGGTTGTGGTTTATGTGTGTTACTCGAATCCACGCTCGGTACTTGGATCCAAAATAACAGTCAGTGCCATTATTGTACTGTACACTGTAGACATATACATGTCCAGCGTAAAATATACGTGTACGTAGGGCCCTGTAGGTCAACGCCCCCACACTACAAATTATTATTACATTAGTGAGACAGTTATACGCTTCTGGTTGAGCACCATACCATATTATTTGCAGTGATATGATAATCAAAATATAACAAAAATTTTGAAAAGTTTTGAGGAAGGAGGAACTGCAATATTCCAATGTACGAAAATTACTTCCAACTCAAAAATTCACTGTGCATTGTAGTAGGCCCCTAATGATTTTAGAGATCATAGAAGTACTTGGGTGGTGGAAGTATTTTAATTGTGTTCTTTTCCTATGTCTGTCTGAGATGTAAGTATTTATACTTAGTGTCTTTTTTTTTTTAGATCAGAAGACCAGGAAGATAAATGACACAGCTGTTGTCTTTCAATTTTAAAAGCGATTTTAGGTATGATACAAATAAGTTCTATTTATTTTCTTGGTGTCATCAAATAGAACCTTCTCTCCGATTGAGAAAACGAGTGAAACCTGATGCAATTTTTCATTTTTTTTTTCAAAATTACCTCGCTATTTTATTTGCTTACATGGGAGCTTCACTTTTTTTATTTCATTTGTTACAGTGTCTTCGTGCTAATTCACCAAACGTCTGTTTCTGTAAATTCTTGCACATGAGGACTGTCAGCTTCTTTAACAGTGAAATAAATGAAATATATAACTATTTTTCAAAACATGAGTTTATTTTAAGCTTTTAACATAATTGACTAAACGAATTGATATAAATGACATTAAATTACCAAAAAGTCAAAATGTCAATTGTAAATTAATCTATAATTGATATCAAATTAACTAATAGATGAGTGTCGCACATGATAAATATTACAAGAAGGGATTTTTTATTTTCACAAAATTTCATTTTATCATTCAATATGTAAATCGATGACTTAAAGTGTGAAATAACATATTTTAAACTTTTTCCTGTTAGAGATAATATATCTTAATGAACCAAATACAGATTTTCAGAATACAGCAGTTCCACATTTATTATGTTTACAATCATGTGACTGTTCTTACTTTTTTGGATCGTAAAATCCCTAACTATGCAAGGTTACTTTTTATTGACTATAGTTCTGCTTTTAACACGATATCGCCTTTTAAACTTCACGAAAAACTTATTAACTCTCTCCATTTTAGTAAATCACTAAGTAATTGGATTTCAAATTTCTTAATTAATCGTACTCAACAGGTCAAAGTCGGCAATAACTTTTCCAAGACTATAGAGATAAATACTGGCACGCCTCAGGGCTGCGTCATCTCGCCTCTTTTATATTCTCTGTTTACATCCGATTGTGTTGCTTCGTATCCTGATTGCTTGATTGTTAAGTTTGCGGATGATACCACCTGCGCTGGCCTTATTAGCACTTCCGAGTCTGACTATCGAAATCAAGTTTCGGCCCTTGTTTCATGGTGTTCTGAAAACGACCTCGAGCTTAATGTTAAAAAGACAAAAGAAATTATTGTAGATTTTAGGAAAAACCCAACAGAAATTAGCCATCTTACGCTGAATGGTTCTGAGGTTGAAATAGTCAGACATTTCAAATTTCTTGGCATACATATATCTGATGATCTTAAATGGCACATTAACATAGATGATATTGTCCGCAAAGCTCAGCAAAGACTCTACTTTCTACGACGATTGAGGTCATTCTATGTCAACCAAGAACTGCTGGCAAAATTTTACCGGGCTGTGATTGAGAGTGTGCTAACACAATCTTTCACCGTCTGGTACAGTAGTGCTACAGTAGAGGACAAGAATCGCCTCAATCGCGTTGTAAAAACTGCCAGGCGCATTGTAGGTAGGGACCTGCCATCTATTGAATGTTTGTATACGAGACGAGTGCTCAAGAAAGTAAAGTCAATCACGAGTGACCCTGGTCACCCAGCGAATAGCCTACTTATGCATATGTCAACAAGCCGACTGCGGTCATTAAAAGCAACCTCCACGCGCACTAAGAATAGTTTTTATCCATCAGCAGTACGTATTTTTAATGAACAAAATGTATTTTAATAATTCCACTGTATCACATTTTATCGACAGATCATACCAATTTTCATTTTATATTTGTATAAATATGACAATAAATTATTATTATTATTATTATTCATGTGTAAAATGAATACATATTTTTGCAATAAACATGGTGAATGATATTTATCTGGGTGCCTCATGAAAAGAAATAAGATCAAATACATAAGCATTATTAAATAAACTTGACACAGTAGTAGAGAAAAGTAGACTGTGTTTCACTTATGGATATAATATAATTATTAATCCCTAAGCTTGCAAATTTAGGGATTTTATTAAGACTAATGTTGTCTGTTTATTCGCCGATTCTCGGGATTTAAATCGCTTTTGAATTCATGTATTTGTCAATTAAAATGGACAACTAGGCTAAAATGTCCTTTTTTAGCACCTTTCACCGATTTTAGATCCCTTTTATATTGTCACGGCCCATTGGTTTTATAGGATGACCACCCTGAAATAAGCTGCCATACATTTGTCTATCAGCACACAGTGTCAA